ACCAAACATAGAGAGTAAAGGAGAACCAGTAACCCTAATGGCAAAAGTAAATAGCAACAAAAGAAAATTTTAGAATAGAAAAATAATTTAGTAACTACTAAAGTCTCATTTGGTTTAGTTATGCTTCACGTTTCATGAGTGAGTTTGGGGTGCCCAGGGATGAAATGTCAGCAGTACCAAAGATCAGTACAGGAAGATGCATTATATTGACAGAATGTGACTCTTTTGTGGGACTGACCTCAAAACTTTACTCTTCATGGGGATGGTCAGCTGCTTTTTTTTTTTTTTTTTAAGTCTGTCCTGGTTAGGAGAATAAGCACCCTTACACTGGAGTTCAAACTAAGGTAAGCACTTATTAATTATGATCAAGACTTAACATTAAAAAGCATGTCATAGACTATTACATATATTATTAATTTATAAATTAGTCTAATGGTAACCCAAAATGAATCACTTTCAAGAAAATTATACAAGTCACTTAAAAAATTTCTTGAAATTAAAATTAGCCAGATAAAAGAAATATACTTTTATAAAAATGAATGTATATACTGCAATAATTCAAGGGACATGCAATAGTAATTCTTTTTGTGTGTGTGTGTGTGTGAATAATTCTTTACATATGAAACATATAAAACTTTCAGGCACTATTTTTCAGGTACACAGACACACACACACACACACACACACACACACACACAAAACCCACCACCACTAACAGATATTTCAATAAGGATAAAAAGAAATATTCTTAAATATTATTAATATGAAAAAAAGACTAATGGATCAATCAACAGAAAGTATAATGAAGCCTAATATATTAACCAATCACCCATTATCCAGGATAATACCACCTTCATGAGGACTCTATCATAACAAGTGATTGGAGAGTTCATAAGCAATTAGTTTAATTATTTTTATTGAGGCATAATAGAATGAAATATTATTTATACCTATAGCCTGCTTCTGTTAATCATGTTCTAATTTTAAAAGATGGTGAAAACTTTCAATACAAGGTCACCTGAAGATCTCAACATCATGTATTTCTACAATTTAGAAGACTATATTTGGGGTAGTGGGGGGGAGGGCACTAGAACCCTTTCACTAATATATCAATTCTGTTCCAAATTGAACTTAGAATAGGATTTCTCAACCTAGAACTACAGACATTTTGAGCGGGACAAAATCTTTGTTGTAGGGGCTGTTAAGTAAAGGATGATTAGCCGCATCCCTTGTCCTCTATCCACTAGATGCCAGTAGCACCTTCCTTCTAGTAATGATAACCAAAAATGTTCCCAAGTGTCTCCTGGGGGGCAATCATCAACCCTGGTTGAGAACACTGGTTAAGTTCTACTTAGATCCTAAGTAAAAGCAAATTCACAATCAATTAGGGGAATGTTTTGTTTTAATTCTGGTCTGGATATTTCACTACATTATATTTGAATTCGATCACAGATCTCATTTAAGAGAGTCAGACTTTAAGAAAACAAAGTATTTAATATCTACCACTTGTTTGCCAAAGTTTAGAACAATCTCAGAGAATTCTGTCAACTCTCCTTCCAATCACACAGTCAATCCGGAATGCAAGCAAGCACGCGCGCGCGCACACACGCAGAACTGTCTGCCTAACTGAACTGAAGAAAATGCACTTAATTACTTTCTTTCATCAAATATATTGAGTAGGCTGTACCAGCTCCCATAGAATCTAAATAAATGCTCAGCTTACTTCAATGGAACTCAAAGAACACAAAAAGTGCATCACTCTAGGAATGATAACAAATATAAGAGCAAGCAAGCATTAATCTCCCCCTTACACTTTAACAATTTGTGAAGAAAGATACAAACTAACTACAGGCACACTCCAAATTATGATCCTCCAATTTATATACAACCTCTAGTTTCCCTGTAGTTAAGACCCAGCTAACCTACTACATTAAAAATTCAAGTTTCAAACAGTGGTTCATAATAACAAATGGACATTACTTTGATGCACTGTATTATTACTACTGTATTACCATGCCAAACATTTTAGTGTATTCCTTAATGTTTCTATCTATAGAAAAGCACACTAAATATTAAGACAAACATTCAACTAATGAGTCGTACCTAAATGTTCTGACTTATATACAAATTCTATGTAAACAGACTTTAAAGATGAGAACTGGTTCTTAACCTGGAGACTGCCTGTACAGTGCTTAACAAAATACATATATAGTTTTATTAAGCTGACATATTTTGAAGCAGAATCAGAGAATATAAAGAAGCAGAACAAAAATTCAAAATTAAGTAAAATCTGAAGTATTCTCAGGTGAGAACAAAGATCTGGGGTGAGAGAGAAAAAATTACACACTGGCATATCCTACAGGAAAAAGTGCCCTGGTGGCACAGTGGTTCAGCACTGGACTGGAACCAAAATGTTCTCAGTTTGAACACAGCAGGCCCTCTTATAGGAGAGATGTGGCAGTCTACTTCAGTAAGGATTACAGCCTTGGACGCCTAGGAGGCAGTTATACTCTGTGCTATAGGACCACAGTCAAATCCAATAACCTTTTTGGTATTGAGAGCCTATAAGAATAATCTGCAAAGTTGGTCTACAAAATACATGCCTTATAATGGAAACTGAAAAATGAAAGTCCACAAAATGCTAAAAGAAATCATAAACATTCATCCTAAACACTTTAATAAAACTGCTTTTCACTACTGCCCCCATTTGATTTTTAAAAGGAAAATACAAATAACTAGAAACAACTGACAAGTTCAGAAAATTCTCAATTCTCATAAAAATTGCCATCCACTTGTTTCCAGCATGCTAGATTATATATTTGAGACAAAAATCTACTGAGAGGAAAAACACACTAAATCCTTTCACAGTGTATTTGACTCCCAACAAAACTTCTTCAAAAAAAAATTAAGCATTTCAAGTATTAAACACATTCAGGTATAAATATGAAATAAGGTCTTTCTGATTATTTCAATTACCTTCAATGGAATCACATATTCTAGTTCAACTGGGAATGCTCATTTAACAACAACTATGCAACAACATTTAATATTAGTTTCATCTCAGGTGGAATATCTCACCAAAACGACTTTATTTCAAAATTGTGGTTATTAACCTCCGGGCCCAGTGTTTATAGTCCTTCAAGAAACTGATGCTCAGTTCTTTTTACTTCCAAACCACATAGAGGAAGAAGCTGTAAGATCGGAAGCAATTGCCTGCTTTAAAGAAGGAATACTTTGAGACTGCACAAGAATAACCTCATTCACCAATTCATACAATTCAGGTAGATTTGGGAGGGAATAATGTCCACAATTCCTTCCAGGAGCAATGATGCCCCTCCTTCTCAAGGGCTGATGTGAAAAAGGATTTGACCAAGAGGAGTTCACTGACCAGAGAATACAGGGGCAGAGGAAAAAAGAGTACCAGGGAAGAAAACAAGAACTACCTGGTTAAGCCAAGTCACAAAAACAAGAGGTTTAATGCTATCAAGGTCTTCATTCATTTCAGACACACCATTGTTCATCTTCCTCCCCAAACCGTGCACAAAAAGACTGTCAGCCTGCCTTAAGCATGTTCCTTCTTCCATTTAAATAGACATGATTCTTTGGTTAATCTCTGGCAATGATCGCCATTTCACAACACATTCAGCCCACCCGGAACGGATCAATACCACTACAGACACAAGACTAGACTTTATCCATTTATTAACCACAAGGAAATGTACCATTCAGCAAAATTCTATACATTACAAACGATTCTATTAAATTAGGGGGAGGGAGAAGATGGACAGACACACAAACACACTACTGAGGTACACAAAGAAAAGACTACCACCCTCTAATTTCCCTGTGGCAAACTAGGGAAAGACATGGCCACGAAACCTGTCAATTCGGTGTTTTCTGTGCCTCCCCCCACCCCATCCCTAATTCTTTCTCACAATCTAGTGACTGTGTACTGAAATTTATGATAAACAGATCCACCAGGACTTTAAAATTGCTTCACCTCCCAAAGCACTCTCCTGTTATGCACATTTGTACACCTTTGGGCTAGATGCTATATTCATTTACTGAATTTCAAATACAAAAGACTAATTTGGGTTTGGGGTTCTTTGCAACCACAGAATGTTCTCATAAACCCAAATTTCAGATAAAAAATGGCCAGATTATTCTCCCAACTTTAGGCCAAAACTTCTTTTACAATTACAGGTATTTAGCAGTAAGGACAATTGCCTCTGAGCCACGATAACCAGAAAAAACAAAGCGTTTAAATTAAATGGTTAAGCAAAAATCTATGCCCGAAAAGGGCTCACAAATGGTGGTTAAAAGCCAGCAAATTACCGACACGCCAAGTGGCACAGCTTTTCTGCACTGGGTTATAGTTAATAGTCCAACAACTACAACTATTTTTAACATTGCTGGACACTGAAGTTGAAGAAAACGTGAGAGGAGACCCAGATGATAATGCTGATATGAAACATTGTTTCTCACGGTCAAAATTAAGTAGCAACTGACCTGATCTGTGTCGTAATAGTCACCACTGAGGCGCTAATTAAAACACACACACACACACACACACACACACACAACCAGCCGGATTTCTCGAGAAGTCCACACTAAATGGCATATTTGTATACGCCTTTCGGGTCTCTACCTTTGCATAAATTGTCACTTGTGGTATCTGTGGGTTAACAGCAACCCAAGCAGCGCTGTCATCCAGTGTTATGGCCACAAACCGTGACTTTCTCACTTCCACAACAACAGTCACACGCTTCGGTTCGTCAACCTGACTCCAACCGAGAGAAATTCATGGAGGTTACCCGATCACAATCACAATTGCGATCTCGGGGGGTGGCGGTGGGGGGAGGGTTGGTGGCAGCCGAGGGGCTAGGGGTGGGGGAAGAGCCTCCCCAGGCTCCACGACCAAACAACAGCCGCCGCCGCCGCCAGAGGTGGTGATGGCAGCAGCGGCGGCGGCCCCGCCGCGCCGCGCTCGCTGCACCTACCTGAAGAACAAGAGATAAGAAAGACTGCAAACGCCAACTTCGCTGCAGCTCCCATTTTCCCCAGGCGCCGGGGAAGCCGTAGGAAGTTCTCGTTAGATATCCAGTTCCCCGGGTCTTCCTCGGAGACAAGCCTCCTGGTATAAAATCAACCGTCATAAAACATACTCGGAAACCCCAGTCCAGAAAAAAAAAAAAAAAAACGTTCACGGGGTTTAAAAAGGAGGCTTAAGGGGGGAGGGAAAAAAAGGCACAACAATAAAAAAAAATTTTTTTAATTGCACCACGGGGAAAACCGCCACACATACGAACAGCACTCAAAACCAAACAACGAAAAGCCAACAACAACAAAAGCGGGTTTAAATCACTGTCAAAATCACTGTCAGCTCTGCTCGCCTCTCGGGTCTCCCGGAACAAAACGCCAGGCTGAGGCGACGAGGCGGCGGCGGCGGCGGCGCCCGC